TTCATTATCTCAAACACAATTTTTAAATTGCCATGTCAAATATGCTATATATAAAAATGCATCTTCATCAAACTTTCTTTCTGCTATTCATGGACATTTTCATTCAACATGGCAGCTGTGACTTATGTGAATTAGCAACAGATGTCCTTACTTATTTAGACGAATTGTCGTGGTAGACTATCATTGAAATATCCGAGTCATATAAGATTTATCTGGACTCAATCAGCTATAATCTGTTTATAATAAGTGTTGAGTTTAATCAACATATTTCGTGGCATTTCTTTTATTTTTTAAGAGTCTTAAAATATCTTTTTACTTTAATTTCAACTTTTTMATTTGCCTTAATCCTTTTCTTGTTTTGCTTTCTTTGTTTTCAATAAATTGGGGCCAGTTGTTTGTCCCTAATTATCACAAATCAAATGTTAGAATCAAGAGAATCTAAAATGTTATGCTATTTTGGTGGCCTGGCTTATGTTCTGGTGCAGTAGCACTAAGCATAATTTGATCAAATTATGCTTAGTGCTACTGCAGAGTGGAAATTTTTTTTTTTAAATGGCACCATCCAATATATCCATAGAGCGTGTATTWGTTATGTATGTTGTATTATAATGTTTTTAGACACCGTTGTTAGATTTAGGTTTAGATTTGTTATCATTTTGCATACTCCACTCATCCCCCCAAAGCATCAACGGTAGGGAAGAGCGATATATGACTGTAAACAAATAAGATATGTAAATACAAGGCAGTTAATAGTTCATTATCAAATAACCGCTATCGCGTGGCTCTTCACTTGTGTTAGGACAGTGTTCATTATATTACCCAGGACCTCTCATGCAATTGTGCTTACGATGAGAGACTGTGTACGATGGAATAATATATAATTGGACTGACGGTCATCAAGTGCCACATGAAAACTAATTTGTATTTTTGTAGTAAGCTTCTCTGTTTGTCAGGCGGGCTTTTATATATATAAACCATTTTAGCAATAGAATTGTACAACCCTAAACTAGGAACCAATGGGCACAGCAGGGTTTGTACTAGAGTCGGCGGTCATTTAACTACCAGAATGCTTTGCGTATTTTCAGTGTTTTTCAGATATATTCTTAATTACAAATGAAAGAGTTCGGGCAAAGTATTCTAGTAGTGGTGTTTGATGATGTCTCAGTGCAAATCGCCTACAGAGCCTATATAGTATTAAAAAAAAACATTTCTCCGATTGATTTTGATACCAGTTCTTTCTTTCTTAAGGCCCGTTTACATTTACGATTTTTGCAGTGCCATATTCGCCACTTTGCTATTGCGCAACTAAAACAGACCTGTAGCCTGAGTATCAGGCTCTCTGCCCCAAACCCCTTAGAGAGAGCCTGATACTCAGGCTAACAGACCTGCGATTGCTGCGATATGAAAAATGGCCTCAGCTCCAAGTTGCACGAAAGTGATGGTCGCACGACGATTTCGCCACGCGATTGCAAAAATCTGCAAGTGTGAATGGGCCTTTATTATTGAATAGAGAAGAATCTGGTTTGAGGTCAGTTGAGCTATAAATAGTTTAGTAAGCGCGTGTAAGCTAACACATCCTGCAAAGATATTTTAACTAATAATAAACAACATTTAAAACGAAGCTGTCATTCAATCTTATTTATGAAAATCGCCAAGCGTCTAATTGAAAACATGTAAAAGCCACACCCTAGGGCTGCAAAAATCACTGAAAATCGATCTAGAATTTGCACGACTTCCGAGGCATGTTTCATTTACAGCTGTTGTGCAAATATGTGAGCTCCGATCCATGCTTCACTCGTGGAAAGTCAGTCACTTTTGCGAACCGTAAAAAAACTCACTTTTTTACCCGGGCTTTTTTACTTTAAATTACTCAAACGGCTGCCTGTTTTCGAGCAAAAAGCCGGTAACAATCTGTTTTGAAAAGAAATTATTTAATTTTTGACAAATACATAGCCTCACTTATATAAAAAGTTAGTAGATCGTTTCATTTGACGGTACATTTTCTCTCGTCAGTGCTATCAATCCAAAAATTAATTTCAATATTGGATGGCCTTGTATAAAAGAACTGAAGCCGAGGAACAAAAGAATTATCTATAGCTTACCTCAATCAGCCTCGTCTTCAGTTCTTTGGTACATGATCCGATTTTTCGCATCCGAGTTACAAAATAGATGGACTGGCCTACGTAGCCCTTGCTAAGCAGGATAAACATCGGCGGAGTTGTTATGACAAATCGTCAAAGACTCGTCAGTGCCGATTAGCGTCATTCTTGGCGTGCAATTTACGTAATCACCGACATGTTGGATGAAAATCCGACAAAGCATTCCTCATTTTTATCTTGTTCATTCGCCCATCATGCAATAGCTTTGTTCATTATTTCTCAGGAGATTCCTGATTATGTGGTTTCACACAAAGAATATTTTTAGGAGTTTGGGGAGGATTAATACTAATTGAGATTTGAACACTGTAAACACTAATCACTAGTATAAAGTTTCAAATTCACTGAAATGTCTTAATGTAATATTTTATGTTAAAATAAAAATTTGCAAATGTTACAAAATCAAATTAACACTCTCCTTACATTTACTATTTTAAGAAAATTCTGACAGCTAACATATATATATCGATACAACCTGTATGCAACAATAAGTCAACAGATCTTATTCAAAGCTTGTGAAAAACGCTATATGCGGTTAATCTGCAACCTTATTAAGGGAGAAAGGAGCGAAAACCACAAGGAATTACCCWTCATGCACACGATATGTTWGCGTTCAGAATTTCTGCAAGTGCCTGTATCATATAATATATTTAATTATAAAGTTTCCCATTTATCTAAAACGATTATGCTATGTACATTTTCACAATTCATCCACCCATTCGACAATTTTGTCGTTATAAAAGAGGCCTGACATAATTCACAAAACCTCACTCGGCCAAAGGTGAAAAACATATAAGATTATCCCTCTCTGTCTTTTCTTCTTGCTGATGYCCACCAGGCGCGAAAAACACAGAGTCCCTTCTATTATCTGGGGAGTCGTCAAGGCAGAGTGCCTGGAGCCTCGACGCTGGTGTGAGGTTTGACTTGTTCAACAGGTCTGAGGAATCCTTGAGAGGAGTAAATGACAGAAGAGGTTGATCACAACCAGACGACTCTGGTTTCTTGAGAGAAGGTGACGTGGAATTCTCTTCTTCGTCTGACTCAGAGGAGGTAGAGGGAAGGATGTATTTATCTGGTAAAAATGTTTCCTAGAATGGAAGAGAGAAAAGAAGGAAATTTAGTTCATTTCTATTATCACTACTGAGTGCGATAAAAGAACGCGATATTATACAGTACCTCTTCACTTGAGCTTTGTCTGCCAGAACGCCTCCTAAGCGATCTTCTTTTAGCCACAGATCCTTCATCTTTACTAACAGGGGTGTTCATGCTGCCATTAGGCGTTCCCAAATGTCGTTTACGACATGGCGTCCCTTTACGACTTCTCAGCGACCTTGACCCCGACAGTACCAACGCTGGTGTGTGCCCGGCATCAATAGAACAAGTATCGCCTTGCTCATCAGGTGAGTCAAAAGAAACAGCAACAGGCGTGAATACAACGTTTGTTGGCAGCTTGTTCTTTTGCATGCCTGGAGTGAAGACAATAGCCCCTGGGGTCCCCCCAGCGGTAGAGTGCGCACTTGGTTCTGGTGACTGGAAAAACACGCGAGATGACTTACGAGTTCGTTTGGTGGATGAACGCAGGCAACTACGACGCTTGGATGGCAGCGAGGCTTTTTCATCTTTCATATCTTCATCTGTGGTCTCCGAGGTTCTTTCGCTGACATTACCATCACTGCTATCCTCTAGCAAGTGACTCTCCTCTGTAGTWTTYTSATCCATTTTAATTTCCACTTKTGTYTCTGGTGATTTGTCTTTTCTCATTTCTTCTGGTTTCTTTTCTTCTTTCATCTCAATGTCTTCTATGCTGACATCTTTGGTAGCGGAAGACACAACTTCGGGTGTCAACCGCAATCCAGGACTACTGGTGCTAGAGGCTTTAGGAGTAGAAATCACCTTAGGAGTGGCACGAGATGTTGATTGGTGGATAGGCGTGTTACGTAAAGAGCGTCGTACAGGTGTGAGAATGATATCGCCATGAGAACCTAGAACAATGGTTGAGTAACATTTAGCATCCTATTATCTTTGCTTTGCATGTAGGGGGGAGAGGTGCGAATGGACATACACGGTGTATGTACGATCTCAATAAATTCAGCTGAAGAATCCTTCTCGACAAGACAAAAACAAGAGCATTGAACGAAAAAATCAAATGTTCATGTTACCTTTCGGGGAAGAATGGTTAGTAAATATTTACCTGAGTTCTTGTTCTTTTTCACTGGTGTCAAAACAGTTATGAATGAACATTCCTTTGGAAAAAAGAAAAGGTTTAATTCTAATCAATGTTATAGGCGATGAAATCATCTAGATCCACCCATTCAATAATTTGACGTGGAAATATGAGCGGAATTATAGTAACTACAGGCCAAATGAATTAGTTGATCCACCCTCTGGTCCCAGTTTTACATAAGGAGTTGATAATTCATTTAGTTATATTGATTCAATACGTTTTGTGTRAATACCTGCAGTGTATTTGTACTATAACTAGATTACTCACAGTTTGAAGTGCTGTTCTTACCTCATTGTTTTGAGAAAGGAGTTTCTTTTTCTCTGCCATTTTGGCTTTCATAGCAGCTCTGAGTTCTTGAATTCTAGACTTTCCTCCAGCCTTAGCACCCTTGGGTCCCTCAATCTTCTTGGGCAGAATTTTCTGAAAATATAAAAATGAAMTCAAAATGAGAGAATGATTGCCTGAATGAAAAAAGAACAACTAGCAGCAATTTCATCTAGTATTCAGTTTAAAAATAAACAGTAGACATAGAAATAGCTTACTTTTGCTTTCTTTTTCTTGRCAGTTTTCTCCTCTACAACCCAGCCATTTTCTTTCTGTTTTTCCAGTACATCCATCTTATTGTTGACATCTTCAACCTTGATTTTGCAAAATGTCTTATTACTGAATAATTTTCATTATTTGTGAAATGAACTTTTAGCATACTGCACTTTATGACTATTATTCCTGGGACTCTCCTTGACTGAGAGTATCAGATTGAGTATTATAGGTGCTTAAGGTTTTTTTGTATTTTGGTTCATTTACTTATCATTTGCAATTTCATTGTTTTCATCTCAGTTTCTATGGAGTAAAATTATATAATCCACGGTGCTCTGATATTGTTCAGGAAGCCACAGACACAACCTCTTTATTTTTTTCTTTATCTTTTTGGAGAATTACACATTATTAAACTTTGGCTCTTTTAAGAGTTAAAACACCTTGTTCCAAGAAAACATGAAACATTGAAAATACATTTAAGTGGTATTTGTTATCATGTGATAAATAAAGAGGTACAGTCATGTGATTCATACCAACTTGAGGACTCTCACAGTCTGAGTATCAGACTCTCTCACAGGGAAACTCTCTCACAGGGAATTGGTGCAGAGCTTATACACTCCAATCCCCTTAATTTACAGAACCTGATATTTAGGCTTGGACTCTTAATGTCTATAGCCATTGCTGGGAAARAACTAACCTGAAAATAAATCATATCCCAAAAACCTTGAAGGTCAGACATAGTGGCTTTCTTCTCTGCTGATTCATCCTAAAATGAATGTCATACAAAAACTTATTTAATTTAATCATCCAGAGTAAAAAATATGACAATTTCCATTGTTATTGTGACAATTTGCCWCATCATGCTTTCATTTGTCAGTGAATTATCTTTTGAGCACTTGGGAATTAATTACCTSACTCAAATCAATTAGTCCTGAAAACTGCTTGAATCTCTGACTAATGAGCAGTTGAGCCTGACCAACAGCAGTTCTGATATTGCCCTTTACTGTTAAAAAGAACAAAACCACATTATTTTAATGTTATAATGTATGATTATGCATCTAATGGTAAAAATAAATAGTAATCATAATAATAATAATTTTTCAAAAAGCAAGATCTATAGAAATCTCATAAAAAAAAATTATAATGGAGTACTCCATTTCAAGTGAATAGTTACTCAGTCGATGAAAGTGTAATAGTATAGCCCCCAACATTACCTTCTTCAGTTAATTCCTCCTGAGTAGATTCCAAGACATTCTCCCATTTATCACAAAGCTCATTTAACCTTGTGGTCTCAGAGGATACCAGATTTCTGAAGTATTTACTATCAAAAGTATCATTGCCTTTATCATCTACATTTCCAGCTTGACTCTTATCTTCACTATTCACAGACATCTCTGTAGGGTCTGTGCCACCAWTACTTGTAGCAGACATAGGTACAAAGTTYTGATTRGTAAYTACATCTCTTTTAGGAGAAGGAAATGCTGTGATTCCCTGAAAGAAATTACTTGTGCTTCTWGGGCTGAGTGGTTCAAATTTGAATTCTTTGGAATAATACTCAAAGGTGTAGAGACCAGTTGGTGCAGTGAATTGGTARTTAGCAGGTGCAAATGACTTTAKTTCTTCTTCACGTTGCACTGGTGGGTTTGTAGGACAGTCTTGACTTGGCTTGTCTTTTGGACATTCACTGCTACTGTCTTTCTTTGGCTGGTCTGCTAAAATCATAAGAAAATATTTATAAACTCCCTGCCATATCTGACAGTAGGCTTTTCTAGCTACAGTACTGTAATTGCTAATTGCTTTGTCCATTTGGAGGTGTCTTTTTCAAGAAAAAATATACACAATATGGTGTCAGAAGCTACAGGTACCTTCTTGCTTCTTTCTTGATGATTTTGGTCCTGTCTTTACTACACTAGTAGAAGCCGTCTTTGTTGACTGCCTKGTCACGCGTTTCAATGATTGTTCTTCATCCTGAAACAAAACAAAAAACTCAATTGTATCTCCTGTACTGAATGTCAAGTTTAAAACACTATTAAATCTTGATTGAAGATTTGAAGTCTACATAAAAAAATAAAATATATATATAAAAAAAAAAATATGATAAAAAATGATTATGAAGGCTAACCTCTCTAGATGTCTTCTTTGATTTTATGTCTTTGACACCTGATTTCACTTTTGTTGCAGCAGGTTTTGCTGGTTGTTTATTGGCTAATCTAGCTGAGGAGCGTGTAACTCTYTTCTCTGGAATGTTTTGCTTAGGTTTTGGTGCAGTTTTCTTTATTGGTTTGATGCTCAGTGGTGCCGCTGTTGAATTGCTGTCATCATATTGAATGTGTCGAACAGCAAATACTGATTTTTGGCCTTTGGTAGCTGCTTCAGCTTTCTTTTTCAACTCTCGTTGCTCACGCCACTTCATTAGCATTGCCTTCCTTTGGTCTGTAATTTGTTCTGTTGGTTGATTTTCTTTTTCTATCACATCCCCTAAATTATAATATCAGTTAATTCAAATTTAATATATTTAAATRCTAGTTTAATTTAAATTTAATATATTAAAAGTTATTTTTTTTAATATAACCATAACTGTTTACTTACAACTATCCAATTGATTTGTCTATTTTACACACATGTTGGATAAGCTGCATTTTACATAGTTATTTATCATCATACCTTGCGAGGAGTCTCTACAGCTACCAGAGTACAACGTGATCGCATGTATTATACCCAATAAAATCTTATCTTATATAAGCTTAGTTAATTCCACACATGCAAGTTTTGATTATTGTGAGGTAGTAAGCTTACATTTTTCTAAGACAACATCCACAGCAAAAGAATCATCATATGATAGTTTTCGGACATCATCCATACCTTTAACGACTAGCTGAGGTTTGGCCACGTCGTTTTGTTTATTCCTGGGTTTCTTTACATCTAGTGTGTCGTCAAGGCCTCTTCTCTTTGACAATTCATCTCCTCTGACGGCTTTTCTATCCTTGTTTGCCCGATGTGCTCGGACAAAACGATTTGATGCGCCAAGTTTCTCGCCACGGTTTTTGTATGAAGAAACGTGGTCATGCTTGTACCGTTTGGTAAGGACTTCCATCGCAATATAAACGCAGAAAATTGTAACTAAAATACTATGAAAAACTTAWTTAAAAGCAAATCATATAAAGAAACTAAGATCAAGTAAAAATATAGACAATATTTTTGTGAAATTCCAAATTAAACTACTTTCGACTTCTAAACGACGGCTGCTTTTCRAATTCCGTGGTTAACGGTATCCTCGAACTTGATTGGATAATTTAAAATGTTTTATCCAATCAGCATTCAGATTCCTAAAAAATCTCACCTATCATTACAATTGTTACTTTATCCAATTACAATGGAGACSATTTATTTTCCTTTGACCAATCATACTCTATTTTGTATTGAACCCAACGTTTACGTCATATCAACTCCGCATTGAGGCCTCGGCCAGAAGGAAGATGTGAAAAATTTSTGAAAAGAGAACGAAGATGAGTGGTCTTGGATTTTCWGCGAAAGTTCGCATTTCTCCAATTGGTTTCATAGTTATTGGACTGTGTGGACTAGCAGCGATATATTATTTTACTGGCCATACTAGTTATGTAGACTCTAGTCAAACAGTTTCGATGAAACAGCTTCTTGCTGCGGCCATTGACTTGGCTCAAAACGGTGGTGATGCAGTGCGATTTATCAAGGAGGATGACAAACTACAGGTAATGAAATTCGTTTCATGATTTGTTTTGCAGTTGTTTGTTGTTTCTTTAACCATATGTCACGGTCATTGCATTGTAAAATAAGCTTGCTTATTGTATCTTAGTCGATCCTCTCGYTTGAAAACTCCTTTTGTAACCCATTGCTATAAATCACCAGAGCTTATTAGCTTACTTCCACTTTTATTAGTACATCAGTGTAATTTAATCTTGTCATTCTATTTCCTCTTGTACGTTATTTGTGCCAGCTGCCTTAGAAAATTGTAAATCACAGGTTTTCTTCATTATAAACACAAATTAACAAATTAAGATTTAAGCTTATATTCTATTATGACGAATGACAGTACTTACCTTAAGTTAGAGCGGATTTCGTATGAGTGGGACACCGTTACCGCACGGTTACCGCACAGTTACCGCACCTGGCCTGCAGAATTTTGGTGAAACAATGGGGCACTAGAAWTTGGYTACAGTACGATTACGGACACAGTACAGTACCGTCCGTTTCCCACTCATACGAAATCCGCTCTATATATTTTTACTTGTAAGCTTATGTCGTAGCCACTCTGAATAACATTGCCACGTATTGAAGTGTAACGTTTGCAATCATGCTAAGGGTGAATAGTGTATACCATCTGGTATCCTAGCGTCTATTATGGTTTGATAAAATATTCAATTGCTATTTACTTATACGGTGCAAAAAATCCCTCCACGGAAAATGTAGGAGCCATCGRAGCCATTCAAACCAATTTGGTTATCAGCTTTTTTATAAGCATCCTTTTGATAATTCTCCTAAAATCCCTTTCCCAACAATTTAAGTTTGAATTAATAATTTTTGAAGTTTGAAAATGAGGCAAATTCCATTTGCCCAACCTCCAGAATACTAGAAAAGCTGGAGATTTCATGGAGAGATTTCCCTRTCATTTTAAGAATGTAGACTTCTAATAAACTCCTTTTTAAATACAGTAAGATTGCTTGTGGAAATTATCAAGTCTTGTGAAGATCATTATGATAATTGCTTTATTTTTGTGTACTTATAAATTTAGAAAAAGAGCAAAGGTAAAACAAAAGAGGGTGTAGATGACCCTGTTACCCAAGGTGACATGCTATCACACCGTGCAATCGTCCATGGGTTTGAGAAGGCATTTCCMAGCATCCGYGTGGTATCAGAAGAGAATGACAAGGCAAATGTTGATGCTAGTCTTGTTAAGCTCCCTAAGACATCACCAGTAATGTTGAATAAGCATTTAGACAACTTGGAAGATGATTTTGTACCTTTTAACAAAATTCTHATCTGGGTTGACCCACTTGATGCTACAAAAGAGTACACAGAAGATTTATTGCAATATGTCACAACTATGGTGTGTATAGTGGTCAATGGAATACCAGTTGCGGGAGTTATTCACAGTCCATTTCTGAAGAAGACTTCCTGGGCTTGGGTTGGCCATGGAAGCTCACCAGACTTGAAGAAAACTGACAAGTCTTCTGAGCTGCCACTTGAATCTCCAAAGATTATAGTTTCTTTATCTCATGCTGGTGAAGTTAACAGAACTTTAGTTAAAGCGTTTGGTAAAAATGTTCAAATAATAAGGGCTGGAGGTGCAGGGTATAAAGTACTTGCTTTACACGATCATAAGGCAGATGCATATGTGCATTTAACATTTATCAAGAAGTGGGATCTGTGTGCTGGAGATGYGCTTTTAAGAGCGAAGAATGGCAAGATGACAACACTTGATGGCAATGCGATTGAYTATGGCAATCCTAAGGASATCTTGATCAAAAAAGGTCTTCTTGCATCTTTATCAAATCATCATGAATTTCAGGAAAAACTTCAATGGGTCTCCAATAAAAAGGATTAGAAAAAAGCTATTACTAAAAGCTAATACACAATTTGTATGGTATTTTTTAATCTTGAAAACATTAGCCTGTGTACATCTGTTTCTCTTCCCTCACAAAAAATCGAGGGTTTCTGTTTGCAATGTACTCTCTTTTTAAACTGGATACCCTTTCTAGGTCAGCTTTGTATATTTGTAAATTTAACTGGTATATTTCTTTACATGAACAAACTGCTTGAATGTATTCACCTAATTCAAAAAACGTTGAGGAGAACAGCGATTGTCGAAAGGGAGATTGGCACAAAATATCAGTTATTGGATTTGCTGTGCATAGAAGTGGTGACAAAATGGAGCCAATGTCCACTTTACAGTAGTATAAATCAATTATTATTTCTCATCAATTCGTAAAAAAAAATTCTATTCTCAGTAGTGCAGTTACCCTTCGACAGTTGACATTCACCATTTTATCCTACAACCGTTTTTGAAATAGGTATATAGATTGCAATTGTTAGTCCTTCATGATAGATAGCTTTTTGTTGCTTGTGAGAAAAATCATGAAGTAAAAACAGGACTTGCTCGGATTCTAAGTTGTCAAGAATTGAAACAAATGTAAAATTTGCCACTACAGTGCATGTTTGCATGACATATTTTTCTTGAAGGGAATATTTTAATTATCAGCCATATTGAACATCATACTTTTTTTTTCATTATTGGCCGGGACAAGGCATTGTTATTTATTACATAGAAATGTTTAATGAGGTACTGAAGCAAAAATTATCATAAATTATTGGTGAAGGGAAAAGGAATTGAAAAGATGTGCTCAATAATCTTGGCCAAGTCCAATTTGTTGTGAGTCCATAGATGGAGTAAATACAAATAATCAAAATAGGTGATAAAAGTGACACAAATTCCTATTGACTTATAGTGATATTTGCTTAATGGAGTTTATTTAGTATGAGTAGACTATCATTTTAGATACAGGTTTTTTT